GCCATAGGTGTTTGAAGCTTATTACTTGACATCAGCTGTGATGGTAGATCCAGACCTGAGAGTATTTTATTCTCTCTGGACCTCTGAGGACTACAGCCCCAGTCATAATGAACGGCTGTAGAGAATTACTAGCTAAACTTCAAATATCCATCTCTGTTGTTAATCCGTTTGTGAAACTACATTGTCGCTGACAAATGTCTCTAATGAAGAAATAATCAGGTTCAAAAAACCTTGGAGTGAGATTTTGTCGGGGGTGACCAAAATTATGCCGCACACGCAGCCACACAAGTTGGTGGCTCAGATATCCGAGAATTGGAATTCATTTGATGTTGCACCCATGTTGTACCCTGCATTCAGGTATTTGTGGGGAGGCCCAAAGCCGCTGACAGGGGCAGCCTACTGGAGATGGACAATATTGGTTACATTCTGAGAAGCAGACATAGCTGAAGGTCCACCCCCAGGAAATTTTGGATTAAGTAGATGTGATTTCCTGCATTCTAGTGGATTTTTGGGTGGTCTGCTAAAGATGTGCAATACCTGAACTTATTCTGATAATCTGGGCCTTCTAGACTTGAGCTGAACATCAACCAGAAAACTATTGTTGTGCCTAAATGACTGCCTGTATCACAATAAAGCCTTATTCATAGACCAGCATTTAAGATTTGACCTAGGTATCTGTAGGTTGATTGATATTTTGATTAGAATGGCATTAAACTAATTCTTAACTGAAACCTAACCTATGTTGTGAATAATTGTAGTTTTAAGAGCACTTCATGATTTATGTTCAGCCACAAAACGACACAAGATTAGTTAGGGAGGGACATTATTCTATATTCAAAGCCTCCCACCACATGGTCCAGCAGAAACAAATAAAGTGCAACAAATAAAGTGCTTAAACAGTACAACTTTTTCAAGCAATAAAACAAATGAATGCATTACAAAAAAAGGGGCATAATCAGTATCAGATGCAGATCAGAAGCTGGGTAAAGTCCTTGTCTATGATCTGTGGGCATGGTTATACTGGCCTGTGGCCTTCTTGGAGACATTTAATTCCATATCTTATATTTTCTACAGCTCAGCATTTCAATATTACACTTAATAGTATCAAACATGCATACCTGTCAGGTATCCTTTCCGATTTGTGCTACCCTTGAACCAGTAACCGATGTCCACTACCATATCCTCCAAATCAAAACCGGACACCTGCAATGCATTAATCAAATCATAACACATTCAGTCAATGCACATAATTAGGATACAAATAAAAAGTTACACAAAAAATCCCACTCCTGCAGCTTTGGCGGTGTTATGTGCCACATGACAAGGACAACTATGAATATAGGTGTTGGGATGCTTCTCAAGGACCCTAGAGGCAATGGAATTACGTGATCCAATGTTCACAGCTGCATTGTCGACTGAGAGACCAATGCAGTTCTCCCAAGGGATGCCGTGCTCCTCTAAGATGGAGTTCATTTTGGTGAAGATCTCACTTGCTGTCCCACATCTCGTCCCACTTGTTGTGCACATACTTAAAAACTGGTGGACAACTTTGCTGCCCAAGAAGACCCGGGCAGTAAGCGGGTTCATCTTTTCCTAACCTATAATGATGAGTTAGAATCATGTTGTGATGTTTAAAAACACACAAAGCAAATGTTTTGCAGAGGAGAAAAATCTCAAATAGTTTGGGAAATACCAGTGTCATTCGACCCATCCGTAACCAGGGTGTACGGTGCCTTTTTCATCTCCTTCACAAGCTTCTGTGTGAAATAGGGTGCGAGTGCTTCATTGATAATGCAGGATGACTTAGTCCTGGCACACCTGTACTCCTGCGCTGTCTTTGAATCTCCGAAACATTCTTTTAGGAGAGGCCCCAGGTGGTCCGCAAAGGCTAGGGGGAGGTTGTGCACTACCAACCCAGCTGTCATTTTGACCTCAGCCCTTCTTGTCTGTAAGAAATTAAAAATTATTAATCCTCCCAAAAGACCATAGTTTATTTCAAATCAACACCTGCAATAATAGGGCACAGGTAAAAAAAACACATTCAGCAACTCAGATCTCAAATTAAGAAAACTGTACTACAAACCATGATTACCATGATCAACTATAACACAAAACTCTTGACTGAACCTTGACAGGACCATTACACATATCATAGCTTAACCTCTTGTGCAGACATCCCCGCAACAGAGGGAACGGGCACTGCATATTGGGATATTGTGGCTATGGACTGGAGAGCCTGTTACTTTTCTTGGTGGCCTTTGATTTTTATGTGGCGCACTACATCTGTCACACCCTGGTGGCAACATGAGTTTTCAAAACGGCATACTGCACACCAGTAGTGTGTGTTGAGGCTCCCTCTGGTAATAAATGGCCATGAAGAGGTCCACTTATTTTTGAAAATGCATCTATATGTTGCTGCTCCAGCCAGAGCACGACTCTTCTGGCCCTGCTGTTGGATTGGGGGGGTCTCTTCTGTCTGTCCCTCTGTGTCTTCTTCCATCTGCCCTGTTGGTCGTTCTATCTGTCCTGTCTGTTGCTCCTCTGCATGTGCGTCTGTCTGTCCTGTCTGTTGCTCTCTCTGTCCTGTGTGTTGCTCCTCTGTCTGTTGTCCTGTCGTTTCTATCAGTCGTTCTGGCTGTTCTGTCAGTGTGTTTGTCGGTCTTTTCTTACTTGGCTGGTTCTTTAAATAAAATAAAAGGTTTCGCTTTTGTCCTGGCAAAGGTCTCTTATGGGACATCTTTGAAACCTTAAAAGAATTCAAATTGTCATGTTGGTTTAATAACTCTACTCTCAGTTACAAAAACATGTCTACTTCTATTGCACACATTTCCTGTATTTATGTTTATTTGGAATACATCTTACCTATTCGAAGTGCTGTTTGGTCTTACAGAAAAAGTCCAGTGTCAGTCCTTTTCTTTGGCCTGTTAATAAAAAGATAAATGCCATGTGAGTAAATAAACAATGAAATGAGCTGATATTTTGAGCATGCAGTATACCACGAGGTTAACAAGGTGCTCTCCTGCTGCTTGTTATGACAGCTTTCACACACACAAACAAATAATTTATTATTAAGATTTAAAGTTTAAGAGAGTGAGTACTCAATAACTTCGGGGTGCCATAGTGTGTAGCATATATGGGTGCAGCGCCTCTACCGTCGGGGAGTTTAAAAAGGAACGAACGAGTCTCGGCCCATGATCGGAATTTCTCACGCAAAAAAGAAAATTTTTTTGCGTGGAAAATTGGATGTGTGGCGTGAGTGCTTGTGGAAACAGGCAAAACCGTGTGTCACACGGCGAAACCGTGAGAGTTGGCAGCTCTGTAACTATATATGGCTACGTATCTTTTATCTTTTAACCATCTCCAAAATATGGTTGTCTTTTCAACACAGACGAGCCTAGCACATAGCATATCTAAGTACAGGAAAGAAGGACGTTCTGACAGAGGTTCCACAAATGGGCGGGGCTTAGGAAGGATCAATTGGAGGACAGGTAGGAAGGGGAGGTTCAAGTAATGGGGAATGGCATGAACAAAGTGGTTTGACAGGATCTGAAAAGACAGTAGTATGTGGCAAGGCAGCAAAAATCAAAATAAAATGTGCTCTTGTGACAGATCTCTAGTGTCAGCGCTCTGATATATCTATAAGGATGGTGTGTGCTGACAAAGACTGATGAGGAGGAGGAATGCATCCTGGATACATTATTACACACACTAATGCTTCACTGCCTCATGCACTTGAATTGCTAATAGCCCTGATTATAGGAGATTTGCACTGCTAACATCATTGCAATATTGCAATATTGACAAGAGTAGATTGATTAACATTGGGCCCGTTACTGTGTTTTAGTGTGACATATGGTTACCTTGGTGCTGTGCTAGCATTAAGTACTATTGAATAGTTGCTGGTAGTGATGCTCAACTTGGGGTGTAGGTAAAAACACACAGAATAGAGTTGTGACGTTCACGAACGAACCAAATCTATTGAACGACTCTTTAACACGAACAGAGTCGCAGTTCACACAGCATGCACACACAAGGCACAAGGGGAGGAGCGCAGCAGTGTACACCTAGGGTGCTTATTTGATATGCAAATATCGCATGACGACGTCACCTGGGTTGTCCACACTGCCTTCACGTGAGTGCCTCAGTAATAATAATAATAATAATAATACATTTTATTTGTAAAGCACTTTTCATAAAAGAATCTCAAAGTGCTACAGAAACCAAGAAAAAAAACAAAAAAAAACAAAATGACAAAAACACTAAGGGCAATAACACATTAAAATCAGCAACAAATAAAAATACAAGTGATAAAATACATTAACAAAAACAGCTAAAAGAGGAGTTGAAGTGCATTGTGAAATTAGAAAAATCTAAGGACAACTTAAGAACGCCTGCCTGAACAAAAACGTTTTAAGTTTTAAAGTGTCCACAGACTGGGGTTTTGAGATGTTCGGGGGAGTTCGATGTGAGGAGAGCAGCGGCGAGGCTCGTCTCCATGGTGCGTCTTGAGCGTGGCTGATGGGAGGTTTGTGCTTTGGATGGTTGCAGGGTGTTGCTGTGATGCAAGGTGGGTGATAGGGCGATCTTTATTGAATTCTTGAGGTTATGGGGAACCAGTAGGTTCTGAAGAATGGGGTGAGTGGTTTTGGTTTTTGTTTGGGCGCACACTTCTGAATGAATGAAGTTTCTGAAGGTGTTTATTGGCTATACCGATGAGCAGGCTGTTACAGTAATCAAGCCTGGAGGAGATTAAGGCGTGGACGAGTTTTTCTGCGTCAGAGAAAGTGAGGAAGGGGCGGAGTTTTGAAATGTTCCTGATATGGAAAAAGAAGGTTTTGTAAAGATGTTTGATGTGGTTTGCAAAGGTCAGTTGTGGGTCCAGCTTCACACCGAGGTTGGTAACTGTGGTTGAGAGGGGGATGTCTTGACCGGAGAAGGAGATGGTGGTTCCTAGGTTTCTGCCTTTTAACAGGCAGTTTTTCCTTGCCCTTGTCGCCAAGTGCTTGCTCATGGTGGTACTGTTGGGTCTCTGTAATTAATGTTTTAAAGAGTTCGGTCTAGACCTGCTCTATTTGAAAAGTGTCCTGAGATAACTTCTGTTATGAATTGGCGCTATACAAATAAAATTGAATTGAACTGAATTGAATTGGTTTGTATGGCTTCAGTTTTAGAGCTGTTCAGCTGGAGGAAGTTGTGACTCATCCACGCCCTAATCTCCTCCAGGCAGTTGGAGAGGGCTAGAGATGATGGTGAAGAGGCAGCAGATGATGATGAGGGAGCAGATGATGATGAAGGGACCAGTGTAGGGGTTACACTACTATTTAATAAGAAAGGTAATTAATCACTGGTGATTAATAATACACTCGTAAATGGGGCACCACCTCCGTTGTTTAGCTACTGGAATATCAATTTCAAATCAATTTATTAAATTTCAAAATCTATATTCAATCTCATATTTCTGAGGTAGTGATTTCTTTTACACGATTCATCGATTTCCCCGCATCAAATCAAACCTGCACCGACAAGGACATCTGGTTATATATGTTTATTAACTAAATGAATGAAGAGTAAATTGCATGAAATGATAAAGCAAAAAAATTACAACAAGTAACAGAATATGTGGACAGTAAATGAATTATTAATATTGGGTGATTAAGGAGCGATGGTGGATTTTGCGATACGGCAGTAACTTTAAAATATTACGGGAGTAACTTTTAAAACTACGAGGCCCTAATCGAAAATTCTTCTATCCTTAAACTATGGGAATCAAAGCTCACAGACAGACACCAACTCTTGGGAAGTTTGTGGGACCCCGGCAGTGTATGTGGGTTTCTGGTTACTATAGCACATAACATAAGTCTTATCAACAAATAAACAGTGAACAAATGACTGCTACATCCCAGAATGCCAACACTGTCTTACCAGAAAGAAGCAGCTAAAATAGCATTAGCAAGCTGCATGATGAGATTAGCTCAACAAACAGTGTAGCTGCTGATTACAATGTCCTTGCCTCACCATCCCATTCCAAGCATGTAGGAGAAACTACAGTGGTGGCAAAACGCAAAAGGTCCTATATAGAGGCTTCGTTTGTCCGTTCTGGGCTACTGTAGAAACATGTCGGTTCAATATGGCAGACGCCACAGAAGGGGACCCGCTCTGTCTGTAGATAAAAACAGCTTATTCTAATATAACGAAAACACAATTATTCCTATATTCAGGTGATTATACTCTAATGAAAACATAGCTATGAATATTATATTCTATTTCTGATAATAGATCCTACTCAAGGGGACCTTTTAAAAGCGACTTATATTGTTTTCTATTGTTTTCTATTTTTTTGTTTTCTATTATTTTATGTCATATATGTAATGCTACAATGTCAGATGTTCATATTAAACGTGACAAACGTGGTAAATGAATGTTAAATCAGTTTCTTTGGAACGCACCATAGAAGACTACTATATTAATTAATACTATTGAGTTAGTTATGTTAATTTCATAGTGAAGTTATAATGACACTATAGTGTTTATAAAGTATCACTATAGTCATTCCTATAGTATTTCTATGGTTTTTCAGGGAAAACTATATACTGAAAACTACTATATACTGATGTACTATTATACTGTTGAGTTGTTAATCTTATAGTGATGTTATAGTTATACTATTTTTTTTAATAGTATTACTATGGTATGTTCTATAGTCTTTTTTTTTTTAATGGTTTTTCAGAAATACTGATAGAAAGTAACTATATTACTTTACAGATAGCTATGCTGATATTATAGTGAACCTATAGTTAATTGGCTTTAATTTTTGTATGGTCATCCCTAGAGTAAGTCCTGCAAGTCCTAACGCAAATCTCGCAGGTGTTCTGACTATGCCACGGGCGTTCAAAAGGGTCCTGAGACAGCAAAGCAAGGCAAACCTGGAGGAATTTCAAGATTCAAGATTCAAGATTCAAGAGGTTTATTGTCATATGTACTGTAAGAAACACAATTGTTTATGTACAATGAAAAACTTACCCTGCCCGACTCCCTTAGGCAACATACAAATAGAAGAATAGAATTAAGTTAAAAATATAAAAATTTAAATATAACTAAAATATAACATAACTTAAAGTGCAGAACATTGTACAGTAAACAAAGAAACCTGAGTAGAAAGGTGCTCTGTGCCTCACAGTTACACTTGATGACGAGTGACATTACATCACAGTAGGAGTGATTGAGTGTGAGGAAGGGTGGTGTGGGCTGTACTGTTTAAGAATGTGATGGCCTGGGGGTAGAAACTATTAGAGTCTTTTTGTCCTTGCTTTCACACTCCTGTAGCGCCTGCCTGATGGCAGGACTGTGAAGAGACTGTGTTGTGGGTGTGTATTGTCCTTTATGATGTTGTGGGCCCTCCTGATGACCCTGGTTGTAGAAGTCCTGTAGTGATGGGACGGATGCTTGTAGCATCCCCGGCTGAATGATGGTCTACTCTTTAACTGATGGTCCACAATGTATTTATTGATTAGCAAACAGTGTAGCTCCCTTAACCCTTGAACACATCTGGAACACACCGTAAGAGTGTACGTTGTGCAGCAACGCTCTCTACAGCATGGCAGGATTCAGTTCACATGACTCGCTAGCATCCTCCTTGCAACAGTTTAGCAGCGCGTTGTGATGGTAGAGAGAAAATGCAAGCACCTCTAGTCCCTGAAGCTACCGGTACTTCAGATGATTTAGTGCCAATATAAATCCTATGAGCTTCAGCGTTCAGAGCGCTAAGCGCCTTCAGCGGTAAAAAGATGTCAGCGGGACGTTTTTTTGCGCAGCGCTCAGAGCAGTGGCGGCTGGCCAATAGAGGGCAATAGGGCGCTGCACCCCTTGAGCCACAAAAAAATAAAAAATGAATAAACAATTTAAAAAAATTAAAAATAAAAATAATAATAACAATGATAAAAATATCAGTGTCAATATTTGTGTGTTTGAAATATGGAATGCACCCAGTAATATGTGTAAAATATGATAGAAAATCATATTCGCAACCTTTCCTCTGCCTGTCTGAGCCCAGGTCTGCCGAGAAGGCCCCGGCGGGTCTGTAGCAGTTAAGCCAATTGCTAATTTAAGATATGAATGTATGTATGACATAAAATTTAGCCAATCAGCGTCCTTAAATCAATCCAAGAAAGGTGATTATTTTATCCCCAGCTGCCCTTGATAAAATAAGGACCAGGCTCTAGCGCCATTTTTACTAGCGACAATGAGCATTACTCCTCCAAGACCCAACCCTAACTCGGTGAAATCTCTCCTCCAAGATCTGTTTGAGAGGAGAACTTTGTCGGAGAAAGTTTGGGTGAAAGAGCTGGGCCCAGATCAACCTGAGCTCTCAATCAGACAGGAGGCTAGAGAAAAAGAAAAAGTAAAGTAAAACCTGTTTTACAAACCCATCTCTAACAAATGGCAGATAGGACTCATCAAGAACACGAGCCATGCAAGGATCTGCATTTCCACTTTTCCACATGCCCACATTCACAGAACTATGAACACTCGCAGCCATTGCAGCAGCCTTCCACTTCCAGCATGCTGCTTCATAGCCCTGAGCATCGGGCATTCTGCCTTCCAGTGGCCTGCCTCACGGCAGTAATTGCACGCACTGTCCCCTTTTCCAGGTGCTCCATGGGAACCTTTAACTGAAAAGACCCCAAGTCGACCAGGCAACCTACCACCACCATCCCTTCCTACCACAGGCTCCCGCAAACGCTTGCTGGGTCGATGTTTGTGAATGAGTACGTACTCATCTGCCAATGCTGCAGCCTCAGCAACAGTTGTAACCTTACATTCATTAATGTACGTGGCAACCTGACTGGGCAGAGAGTTTTTAAACTGCTCTAAAAGGACCAAGTTACACAAACTATCAAAGTTGTCCACATCAGAAGCCATACACCAACGGTTGAAGTGATTAGTCAGCTCCCTTGAAAATTCCATATGAGACTGACTAACCCTTTTTTCCCACATCCTAAATCGCTGACGATATGCTTCTGGAACTAACTCATACACCTTTAGTACAGCAGCCTTGACCGATTGATAAGTGAGATTACTTAATGACGCATAGGCCTCCTGTGCTTTTCCTGACAACACACACTGCAATAACAAAACCTGCTCAGAGTCTGACCAGGTTCTTGCTCCTGCAATCCGCTCAAACAGAGAGAAAAACACATCTGGATCCCGATCATTAAATTTAGGCAAGAGACGTAAATTACTAACAATATCTGGAGACCCTGACCGCAAAGATGAACTTTCTTCCTGTTGCAACATATCCCCAGAAAGCTTACCATCTCTGACTAGTTCTAACTTCTGCTGCTCTGTCTCCTGTTTTAAACGCTCAATCGCCACTTGTTTTTTAGCCTCCAACTTATGCTTTTCTATTTCAATCTTTTGCCGTTCTAGTTCCAACCCCGATTTCCCTTTATTATGAGAAAACTGCAAAAAAAGCAATTCTTTTCTCTGCTCAAACTGTAACTCGACTAACTGTAACTTCACCATTTGCTTTACATTCTCTTTACGTCGTCTATCACCAATTTCACTCAGATCAAGTTCATATTGTTCAGCAATCTTCAGAAGCTGATCTTTAGTACAAAGATCCAAAAACCCTCACTTGGAGCAGCAACAAAATCTACTGTGCCAGCCATACTAAACTAAACCTGGACCCCAACAGAAGAAACACAAGAACCAACAGAAATCATTGAATAAGTCAACTAGTGAACAAACAAGACACTAATGGTGTCCCCAAAACTAATGTGGAAGTTCCCCTCTACCTAAACTGCCTAACCAAAAACTAAGCTACCTCACTGAACCCTAGTCTTCATGAAGATTAGCGGTGGGCTATTTAAACACTTAAACCAATAGCCCAGTGAGGCAACCAGCAAGCTGGTTATTCACGTGATGGCTGTGGATGTGTCCCCGAGACAACTGCTCTGACTGCACACCACATGGAAAACAACAAACTAAAAAATTAATCAACAAGCCCAAATGGACTTTGTTGCTAATACCTAACCAGGGAAACTCCACAGAAGCCACAACATACCACACTAGAGGACCAAACAATCATTTCTGCCAGCTCCTAACTGCCTACTCATGGCAACACCTGCTAACTGCAGGACCAAACTCCCCCTAACTGAAACAACGATCAAATCAACCAAATATGCATCTCCCCAAACAAAGACTGTGCCAAATTTAACATAAGCCAAAACCAATGCACTTGCAAACAAATAACCCTACATCAATCAGGGTACCAAATAATGGCCACAAACAAATCAAATTTGAACCGACGAGCCCCCACTTGTCACAAACCAGGCCATACGGCCGTGACAAACCAAGGAGGGAGACGCACACAACAAAGCCAATTAACAAATTATTTACTAAGGAAAGAATACTTAAACTAAATTAACAGTATTATATGAAATCAGTAGGATCAGTGGCGTAAGTAAGTGCATGAGTGAAAAAGTGTATGAGTGCTGTGTTGTGATAAGATGCAGCAACACAACAAAACCATCAAACCCAAAAACCAGACTGTTGTCTCAGGGAGGAGAGAGAGAGCACTGAGCTCCCAGAGGGTTTTTAAAAGGCGCATGGCACACAGGCCTCAGGTGTGTCTGATTTGCTGACGACCCTCTGCCACGCCCACTCAAAGTACCTGTACAGAAAAACAAGACAGGCCACACAACCAGGAACAGGAAGAGAAGGTGGAGTGGGTCGTCACACAGTATATGGCGGCGGCTTCTCCCGTAGCTGGTACGCCGGGAAGGCTTGGCTAGCTGGGTGCATTCATGCTAATGCTGTATTTTACTTTCCGTGCTTGCTTTTTAAAACAACGGGGACAGATCCAGCATGGACAGTTACCGGAGTGAGGGATATGAAGCAAAACACCAGGGCACACATGGATAACTCTGTAAAGCTAGCCATATTAGAAAGGTGAACATCGCTACGCAGCTGGATGACGCCCACAGGATTGCGGTGAGGAAACATAATGAGGAGGTGGATAAAAACAGCCACATTTTACCCAAGATTATCGATTGTGTGAAGTTTTGTGGGACTTTTGAGTTGGCCTTGTGTGGGCATGACGAGACTGACTCGGACTCCTCGGACAACCCCCCCATTTTCTGGGGCTTGGTGGATTTTGTTGCCGTCTCTTGACAGTGTGCTGGAGGAGCACCTGAAGACAGCTACCGTTTTTAAGGGCACGTCAAAGACGATACAGAACGAGCTGTTGGACTGCATGCTGTCAGTGCTTAAGGATTACATCCTGGAGGAAGTAAAGAGTGCTGATTTTATCGCCATTCAAGCCGACGAGACGACTGACGTTTCCACCCACTGCCAGCTGGTGCTTGTGCTACGCTACATCGATGCTAACAGTAACATCCAAGAGTGGTTTTTCGAGTTCATTAGCATCCAGAGCGCAACCGCCGACACCATCGCTACAGCGCTGCTGGAGAGGCTCAGCACCATACTCTCACATGGACAAAAGGCCAAACTTATTGCCCAGGCTTACGACGGAGCAAGTGTGATGAGGGGAGCCACCGGCGGAGTGCAGCGTAAAATAGTGGATGTGTACGAAAATGCGCACTACGTCCACTGCTACGCACATCAGCTGAACCTCATCATGCAGCAGGCTACTTCACGCATCCCCAGGATCGGCACTTTCTTTTCCGACCTTGCAGGATTTTCTGCTTTCTTCTCCAGGTCTACCAAGCGAACCACCATGCTTGACCAAGTGGTTGCGCATAGACTCCCCAGAGCCTCTACAACACGGTGGACCTTCCACAGTCGCGCTGTAAACACTGTGTACAAGCACAAGGATGACCTCCTAACGTGTTTCCAGACCATCAGAGACTCTGGGAACTTCGACCCCCCCGACTGTCAGAGAGGCTGGGGGCTTTGTGAGGAATGCTCGAAGACGAGGCTCTCTATTTTTTCCTGGCACTGTTCCACAAGATCATGCCAAATGTGGACATGCTTTTCAGCCAGCTGCAGAAGAGGAACATCGACCCTGTCTTCATACTAACAATCAGGTAAATAACTATATTTTACTATTGGCTGATAAAGCTGTTGATGTTAGAAAGATGAATAGCTCACTTCCAACAGTGTAAAAGCCTAAATGTGTCTTGTTATCAAAGTGAGTGATTAGCATAGAGCACATCACAATTATATTTGTTATAGTATTTTAAAAGGAAAGAGAAGACACAATCAGACTTGGATAATAATGAAGGAAAGTATTACACAGTTTGTAATAACAGGCTTATTAAGATGTCCACCAGGTCAATTTCTAGAAGAGGCCTAGTTGTTATTGAAGATTGAAGATTAACTTTAGTGTCATTCAGACTATCACTTACACAGGACAAGTGCACAGCAGAACAAAATGATGTTGCATCCCTCTCACAAATGTAATAGAAAACTGCTAAAAAACTTAATAACATAAGTTAATTATGTACATCACAGGTTAAAAGCAGTTACTAGACATATTGTGTGTGTGTGTGTGTGTGTGTGTGTGTGTGTGTGTGTGTGTGTGTGTGTGTGTGTATGTGTATATATAATATATACATACATACACACACACACAATATGTCTAGTAACTGCTTTTAACCTGTGATGTACATAATTAAGTCAGTCAGTGGATGTGCGTGTGTGTGTTGAGGGGGGGTTACAGTGAGTTAAGAAGTCTGATGGCAAGTTATCAAATTAAACTTTATTTTTTGGACCCAGGGCCTCCATTCCCTCTTTGTGTGGGGACAGCGCATCTGACGAGCAGCAGCAGCCCATAAAGCGATGGAGTAGCTGGGACCAGGAGAACAACAGAGGCTGGCTACAGAGGTAAGTTGTGATGTCATTGTCAGTGTTTCCCCTAGAACTTTTTTTCAGGCCTGGTAGTATGTAGCCAAAACCAAAAACCCTGAACAATCAGCACCTTAGTTATCATATACTTGACTTGGACATAGGCATGTGTTCAGTCAGGATCACTTGCATCAAAATAGCTCTATTGCAAATTAAAGCTGATGATGTATCTTTTACAGGTATGTGATACTATCCTGATTCATGACAAGGAGAGGTTCTCCTTCACCCAGCACCTCATCAGCGCAACACTGTTGCATGGAAAGTTGTTCCCACAACACAGTGTGAAGTTCCCCGATACAGCGCTTGAAACAACCGTGGAGGCGTACCTCATGTTGAACAAGGCCAAGCTCAAAACCGAACTGTCCCTCATCTATGAGAACAGTGAGTTCAAGGCTTGTAGTGGTGCAGTGCCTCTGTACCAGTTCTTCACCGCAGCACTGACCACATGTTTCTTTGTATATAGTTGACCTTTGCAAAAAAAATCATCCAGTTATATATGGTACTCTAGAAAGTCTTCATAGTGTGTTTGCTAATATTACTGTATATATGTTGTTTTGTATCAATTCATTGTTGCAGCTCTCAGCGCTAAAAACGCGTTTGGTGGACACAAGCCCTAACTCAGACAATTCCAATCACATTTAAAGGACATCGACTGATTATCGTTATCGCCAAAATCCCCAAAAATATCGCCCACCCCTAATTCAAATCATGAAATATCACCTTTTTACACCATTTTAAATTTAGTGACAAGAGAGTGCTAACAAATACATTAAACACATTTAACATAAAATAAGTTTTTAAACTGTATTAGCAAGCAAACTCCATTGTGATAGCTCCCTAAGACCGACAGAGTTGCCTCAAATGAGCTTATATAGCAGTGCTAGCATAAACGTATTGGCTTAAAACTCTCCAAAGGCACACAATAGCGCCAAAATATGACTTAACATTAAACCCTATGTGTAACAAAGTTGTAACAAACCTTGTGCCCTTATCAGCTGGGTGCTAGGTAAACAAAAATGTATCATTTGGACATTAGGCTAGCGCTTTGTCATGCTGCCACACTTGAAGAGCGACCATACACCTTTTTCCGGCAAGACCCCTTTCAAAATAAAAGCTCCAACCTCAATATCAAAATAATAGGCCCGATAATAGTTTAACTTAACAATAACACATAAAGGATTAATACAAATAAGAAATAGCAACTTCCTGAAATAAGGTTTTCACCCACTATACCTCTGTCTCACCGATGTACAGTGGGGTGTGCTGTCCCCCCCCCCCCTCCTAGGATCAATAATCATCTCCTTTGTCTTGTTTGTGTTCAAGGAGAGATTATTTTCCTGACACCTCAGCATTTTACCTGCAGGACAGGAGGAAACACACAATCTCTGTTGTGCGGGCGTGAATGGTCAGAATGTTTGCTGGTACAGGCAGGAGTGGACACACACACACACACACACACACACACATAGCGGGAGCTGGCAGGGTTAGGGGCCTTGCTCAACAAGACCTCAGTGGTGGGAATGAGGGAGGGTTAGGCACTGCTTCTTAACCCCACACAGATTTATCTTGCTGGTCCATGGATTGAACCGACAACCTTCCGGTCCTAAGCTGCTTTAGCTAACTCGAGGTCACCACTGCCTGAAGGCAACCCTTATTTTCTACTATACACAACAATCTGACATCAGATTTCTTTATGGACTCCAAGCCTTTAAGGTTAATTGACAGATTTGAGTTCTTTAAAATAGCACTCCTCTCTTCACATGTAAGGAGCTTCTGATTTTTAACTTTAACACAAAATTCAAAAGAAAACTCCCGTGTTGGGTCTAACTCCATCAGGTATTAGAGCATTAATAACAGAAAGACAGATGGCGGAGAGGAGGGTAGAGACTTTGTCATGTAAAATATTTCATTCAACACACAGCATGAAGCATAGCAGGAGGCTCTGGCACAACAACAAAACAAATTATAAATCTAATGATAATGATAATGAGGTCAATGTCTACTCACAGGCTCGCTAACAGTCAGCCTAACAGCGTTTCATTCAATATTCAAAGTAAAAATATAAGGATGGCAACTTGATTTCTTTACTAAATTTCACTATGTCAGCATGTTTGGGAGAAGCATCTTCTTCCTCAGGACAAACAAAGCATGAATGATAAAATACTCACAACACACAAATATACTGTGCCCAGACAATCTCAACCAGACAAACAGACAAACCTGCTCTGTAAAAATAATAGATCTTTTATGGTAAAAAAAACTGGCAGCAATTGCCAGAACTTCACCGTAATAAATACTGTAGAACTTTTCTATTACGGTAAAAGGATATTAGTACTGTTGAGTTTAAATCTTTTTAATATTTTACTGCATACATACAAGCTTTTAGCATCAAAAGAAACAGTTTTGCCATATAAAAATACCACATGAGTGCTATGACAGTAATTTTTTGTGCAATTTAAAAAAACAACTTTATTCTGTATAAATTCCTTTAAAATGCTGTTGAAAATTTAAAAAAATCTACAGACATTTTTTTACAGTGTGTGTTTGTGGGAGAAGCGAAAAAGAATATAAGAATATAGTGGAAACAGAAGGCAGCTCATTTATCACGCTGTGACTGGCTGAGAGACTAGATGCTGGCTCCAAAAAAATCCCGCCTCCAGTTGACTCCCATTGCAAAGGCGCCAGCCTCCCTCTGGAAATATGAATTCAATACATTTTTTGTTGTTATGGTCTCAATCTCTCAATTCAGACGCTCTTAAAGTGTGCAGAGAGTCATTTTGGAAATTGATGCTCCATGATGGCTGCTGTGTGGGCCTTGATTGACAGTTCTGTCCTTCACATGAGTCTTGCCTGAGGATTCATTAAATATCAGATCATTTCTGAATCGTTCCTCACTTGTTCATTAGTAACTACTCAAAGTTTGTGTACCGTATTGTAAAGTGTAACCAATTTCATGAATGAGTAAGAAGAATAAGGGTTTTGACTGTTTGTCATATCTGCTGAAATGTTATCTGTGAATAATAATCTGATAATCTGTGGCTCATTCTAGTGCTCATAATGGAATTTGTTAGACTCCATCACCCTGAATGAAAGCAACCAATCAGAACCAAGAAAGATAAAAATACACTTTGGGTTGGAAGCTTGAAGAATGTTGCTTGTTGAGACTCAACAATAAAATATATCTTTATAGGCTATGAGTGGTTTCAGAGTATGAATAAAATACAGATCATTTAGTTGGCTGAACAGATACAGATGTACCCACTCATCCCTAGTAGAAACTTGAATCCACCAGTGCACATCCACTGAGAATAGACTTTACAGTGAAGTAGTGAGACATCTTTGTGTCCAGCAGGAAAACATTAGCAATGAACAACATTTGCTTATTCAAAATTCAGGAATGTTTTTGAAGAAGTAAATGCATTTGAAGGACTTTAATGTGGAAATATATATATATATATATATTTTCTTTTTTTTTTTGTGGGAAAAACATTTCAGACACACATCATTGTTCCAACGGACTATGTGTACATATGTCTGGAGGGGCTCTTTAAATTTTACCAGGGAGTAAAGATTACTACACTATTGAGCATTACTCCTGCTCTGCCAGCACTAAATTGACTGAAAATGCCATAAGTAATCATTTGATAACCTAATTTATTGTTGATTGTTGCTCAATTTCTGGAGTCTCCAGTTTCCTGGAATCCTTGCACAGGCCACACAACAGCCAGCAGAGAGAAGAAAAAGATTTTTGTACAGATTAAACAAACAAGAATCATTATTTGAACTAGTAAGCTTCAGACGTGTTAGTACAACAGTGATGCTGTCTGGCTTTGGAACCATGGAATGAACAAATATCGGTATCTCTTGTGTTTACAGGCTGACGTAAGTGAAGTAATGCCAACTGTACCTCCACATCCACAGCCCTAGATGATGATGGATTTTTAAAATATTATATAAATATCTTTGTCTGGCTTGCATGTTTGTGTTTTTTCCCACCTGTTATTTTGCCGTCATCCGTACCTTTCTTTCTAGTTCTAGTTTCTTTCTCCTTTTTCCTGAGCGAACCCACAACATCTATTTCCAGCTACAAGACTCATTCTGAAAATCCTCTTCATTAAGTTCAGAAGCTTTTTCTTGTTCGTGTCAAAATCATTAGGACAGTCTCCTTTCAGCACTGTGAGTTCTTGAAAATGAACTGTCAGGTAGCTCACCTGGTAGAGCTTGCTGCAAGGGCCATGGGTTCAGATCCGACCTGTGGCCTTTTACTGTGTGACATTAACACTCTCGCTCTCAAGGCTTTCCTGTCCATCTCTCAAGCTACCCTGTCTAATAAAGGGAAAAAAACCCTCAAACATATCAGTATCTCTGGTTAAAAAAGGCATCTCCTCATTGAGGATTGTTAACTTTGTTTCCTTATTGTTCTCTCTCTATGTCGCAAATACTATTAATGGAAGGTTGCGCACCCACACAGAGCAGACAGCAGAGCAGACAGGCTGCGGTGGAGACAGTGAAGCAGGTGAAGTGAAAGTAATTTCCTCTTGCTTTGTCCACAACACACTTGTTAAACTAATAGCTAAAACAAAAGCTCTCTGTATGTCTGGGAGTCTCCAACGTTTTTGAGAGTGGGGGCTGCCTAAAGGGAGAAAACTGTAGGGAGGGCTATGATGTAGAATAGAATAACATGGCGGTGTGTATTTCATATACAGGGTTGAACCAATTTGATTTGGAATTGCAGGTCTGGAAATAGGTTTTCTCTGGTTGTGGTAATAACACTGAAGGATCGTATGAGAAATCAACTGACATGAACTCAGAGTCAGTTTACTCAGCTCGTCTAATCAAGGTAAACCAATTCATTGACAGATCATGGAAATCTGAAAGTGGTTCAGACCACCATGTGGGACACAGAGAATGAATGCCAGATGCAGAAGGGCTGAATAGGGAAGCATGGTTTTAAATGAATGAAGACATATCATACCAGTAATGTATTAAAATTATTTGATACAATGGAGCCTACTTACTTGCAAAAATGTTCTTCAAATGATATAAAGCTGCAGAAAATAACTTTTTGTCATGTACAAAGTCTTTTTATTGTCATTTTCACAGTATATACAGCATTTTACATACATGAAATGAAACTTGTCCTCTGCATTTGACCCATCCAATATACATTACTATATACATTAGGAGCGGTGGGCAGCTGTAGCACCCGGGGAGCATTTTGGGGTTAGGTGCCTTGCTCAAAGGCACCTTGGCAGTGCACAGGAGGTGAAACTGACACCTCTCCAGCTACCAGTTCACACTCCATATTGTGGTCTGTGGGGCTTGAACCGACAACCCTCTGGTTCCAAAGCCAAGTCCCTACACACTGAGCTACTGCCGCCTAAACTAAACTAAACTTAGCCACTGGCTGAGATAGCAGCCCTCCACCCTCCAAACCAGCTCCTCCTCTCTCTATCAGCGGTACCTGTAGGCGGTGAATCATGAGCAGAGGGAGGAGGACAGAGAACCTTGGCAGAGGTCTGCACCCTCCAAGTGCACTTCTAGTTAGATTGTAAATCTGTGTCGTGTGTATGAGATTCACAATGGCTCTATGACGTCACAGAGACTGTGTCCATATTAAACTATACAGACTACTATCTGATGGCAGTTTTACATGTTCTAATGTCTGAATAACTTTGTAATCAAGTGTGTAACACTCACAATGGCAGCCTTACTAGATTAGACGTAGTAACATTTCATAAACAGTCGGCATTAACAAAAGGCTATTCCAGCACAGCAGATGAAATATGCAGCAATATTAAAAGCTAGTCTTTTTCCACCTTTTTGTGTGTGGGTTTGTGTATTTAATGCTCTTTGTGAAAACATTTTGCAACAAAACAGCCAAACATCATCTGAAGAGCAATTATCCAATGTGAAAGCAGTCTGTCGATTCTGCTGTGGCTGTTCCACACTCATCCCCCACACTGTTCCAGCCCCTTGCCTCTGACCCTTCGGTTATTAGGTGGCAGAGGCTCATTCCACCAAAGCAGCACATTCCCTCTGGCACGTACTGAGTAGCTTCCCCTACACATGTTTCCTCTTATACTGTATCATTATGAGCCCACGAGTGCTGCTACTGTATCTGCCTTGTGTGTCGACCTCAGTTCCCTCCCCTTGGTGCGTGTAACTGAGGCTTTATCTGTACGG